TCATTACTATTGAAATTCGGAATGGTAGGAGATTTACGAGTAAAGGTATCGATGACATTCGGAACAAGGCTAACAACGTCCTTGGACAATCCTGCAGCGGATATTATGTTTTATCTTTTCAGAAAATCAAAAACTCCAAAAATATTTACTTTCTTTTTTATGTTTTATCTTTTCAGAAAACCAAAAACTCCAACAATATTTCATTTTCTTTTTCTGTTTTATTTTCAAAATTCGTTTTATCTTAGGAACTATTTGGCCACCATTATTCTTTTTCTTTTTCTATTTCCATAAAGTAAAGATTTTTGAATTCAAAGGAAGAATCTTGAATACGGACGAAGTACCAAATGATATTTTTGACGAACTTTGAATTGAGTTCATTGCTTGAAGTTATTAGAGAGCCTACTCGTTGTTGGATTGTAGGAATAATGACACGAAATGAATAAAGAATGAACAACATGAATTAATCAACATAACTTGATTAAGATTTAACAAAGAACTTGATCTCTCACGAAGAGAGATAACACAAAGGCGTAAATTACAATGAACCCTAGAATGACTTATATACTTGGGTAATCTAACTAATATATGGAAATCCCAACGTATTAGGGATTTGAAATACAATAAAAAAAATAAGATAAAGTATACAAGGATAATATCTACATCTTTAAGATACTGGATCACAATCCTTAATATACAAGAAACTTCACACTAGTGCTAATGTCGAACAAACACCATATGAGATGCTGATAGAAGATCAGCATGAAGAGGTTTTGCACATCATATTTCTAACATCCCAAAAATATCAATAAAAGTTTTCATTTCAAACCATCACATCCATACAAACATTTTATTAAAAAACCAATCTTAGTAAAAAGTATCTCCCAAACACCAAAGTAAAATAGTAATAATCAATGTGGAAAAAGTCTTCAGGGGATACAGTACGGTCAACGCGGACCCTTCCCTTTGGAACTGTAAGTGCCTGAAAAAATTTAAAACATAAACCACAAGCACAAAGATTAGTGAGTTGCCTAATATACGGTACCACATACCATACATATCAGTGGACCCATACATAGGGGTGTATTTCAACCCTATATGAACATTATGATCCAACCATAGTCTTACAATCACTTCCAGATTACAGCCCAGCCATAACCTTTCAGCCATGATCCAACCACGGTCTTCCATGTAATTCATAAAGACATACAAGTGTTGTGATCTAACCACAGTCTTTCATATAAGTGATGTTATCCAGTAACAATCTTTCATACAAGTGTTGTGATCCAACCACAGTTTTTCATGCAAGAGTTATAGAGACAATCTAGCAACCTGCATAATATAGTGAGAAGACTCATCTCACAAACGTAGTCAATAGCTAACAGCTCTTACCACCAATAAACGGGTGCTATACACCTCCTAATAAACTACACAAGGTAAACCATTAGTCCACCTTCTAAAACTAGCTAATTGACCAAATGTAACATCCCAAAACGATGACAAATTTTTTCATTTTTAAATTCATTAATTCCAAGCATCATATGTCTCAAAAACAACCATAATACAAATTATCCAAAACATCAGAGTAACAGTAATCATAAGTGCGAAAAAGTAGGGGGATGTTGTGCCATCACGCTGAGCCCTTCCATTTTGTACTAGAAGTACCTAAAACCATAAACATAAACTGTAAGCACAAAGTTTGGTAAGCTTCCCCAAAATACCACATACGTCATATACATGAACAAATATAACAACATGTGATTGTTCCGGGTCCGTATCAACCCCGAGTCCTTAATGACTCCACATAATAGCACGTGGCTGTGTTGGGTCCATATCAACCCGTCCATAATGACTATGAGCCCAGATTGACTCCATTCATATAACATACAATCATATCAGTAATAGTCACATAAACACATACATCCTACCTATACAAATCAGTAGGTCGATATTGATGCTTTCGACCTACCAACATGGTGGGGAGACTCACCTCACAGAAAATGTTCAACTGCTACTGCTCTCACTAATATGACACCATTGCTATGCACCACAAAAGTCCAAAAGAGTGGCAAGATAAAGGATGAGGGCTATCTTGCAGAATCTTAGCTATGCACCGCTGCTACTGCTCTCACCTATTATCATCACCCTGATTTGGGTTCTATGGTCTAACAAAAATAATGAATTATTCAAGATGTACATCATGAGGAAGAGTTATATTTTTAAAAGTATTGTAATTTATTTTTTTAATTGATGTATTAGTAGAAGTAACAAAAGTATTATAACTTGGACCTAATGGTTGGAAAACCCACTACTTTATGACTTTGTAATTTTTTTTTAGCTATTTGCTAGTTCTTTAATATAGTGTGACTCATTAAAAAAAAGACACTTAATTTTCTAAAGTAAAGGAAAAACATTAGAACTAGAAAAGTTATAGCTTTATATTTATCATTTAGAAAAAACATACAAAATAGGTATCCTCATTACGTGATTATTTGATAAAGTAAAACAATTTAACATCTTTTTTTCTTAACAATGTTTAGTGGTGAACATTTATAGTTTGAATTTATTTTGTAGTTGTTAATTAATTTTTTTCTTTAATGAATTTTATGCCGGTTTGTTATTAAGATCAAAATGTGTTGATGATTGATGGAAGCAAAGTAAAATGAAAGAGAAAAATAATGTACGAGGCTTTCTAAGAGATGTGCGAATGACCCAACTTAACCTTAAAGCACTAAATAAAATACGAGTTGTTGGTTATGTATACAAGATTTTTAAATATCTAGACATTCTAAACAACCAAGGAAAAAAAATGTTTTCATTAAAGTTTCGACTATATGTCAATGTTAATTATGTTTTAACACATTCGTCAAATTATATATTTAAAATGTCATATTTATCATTCCACCTCACACAATTAATAAATAATATTTCATAAATGTTTAACATCTATTTATCCGATGATTTGATAGTTTAATAAATTTATAACTAAGTCGCCTATATTGCATTTTGTCATAAAAAGTACATTGCTATTTAATGCAATATTGTAAAACTCGTCGAGTTGGCCGATTACTCATCAGAGTACTCGCTATTCGGTCCCTGCCGATGCGAGTTACAAAATCCCGAGTACTCTCCGATCGGGCCCTTACTGAACTGAGAAGTGTTGTAAAACTTGATCAACTCGGTGATTAATAGGTATAGTATACTTAATGATTTATTATTTAACACACACATGTTATTATTACTATATATATATCTTAAATTTTCAGTATAATTCACGAAGTGAGATCATTATGTGTTTTTTAGATTTTGTATATTCACATGTATTTAATTTTGTTATATATTTCAATTAACCTATGATTTTAACTTATGATTTTAACACATATAATTTCCTTAAAAATATTTCTACATGAATTACCAAATCCGAGTATTCCCGAGTACTCGCTACTCGGTAGTCGGCCGAACAAGTACCGAGTAACGAGTTCTACAACCTTGATTTAATGCGAAAAAGAATCTCACCTGTTTTTTTTTTTTTTTTTTTCAATCAAGTTATAAAAAATTGACAAAAAAAAAAAAAATACATTAGTTTGACGTTTTAGTACACTCATACCCGACATAGAAGAATACAAAAGTAGTTTCCACTATTAATCATGTAAATATAATTATATATCTAATATAGAAAAGTGTAGTAAGACTACCTAAGTTTTTTTTGAAAGAGCCAGTAAGACTACCTAAGTTGAGGGTTTGGTGGATGCTATGGCAGGTTATAATCTGTTTAATACATCCAGATACATAGGTTTCGAAGGTGGATCCTTTGGGGTTATTTTTTGTTGGATCCATGAGATGCATGATAGCGAGCAAATCGGAGGTGGACAACATCATGCATGACTTTTATTGGGTGCCTATTAAAATTAATTGATTTGCTTGGAGACTGTTTTGTTACAAAATTCTAGTGTCTTGTAACCTTGCTGAAAGAGGCATTGTGCTTGGTTCCTCGATTTGTTCATTATGTGGTCTGGAGGTGGAATCGATTGGGCATGTTATTATTATTATTATTATTATTATTATTATTATTATTATTATTTTCAATTGCTCTTTTTCGATTCAGATATGAAGTTGTTTGGAAAGCGCAAAATGTTTGGAAAGCTCTTTTTCCATTCCAAATTGGTTTTAGTCTACTCTGTGATGTGGGTCGTTTGGAAAGTGCAAAATGCTTTAGTTTTTAACAATAGGATATGTTCTCCCTTAGATCGGAGGATCGGAGGACGTGGGTGAGAAACTCTCCTTATTTTTTGTGGGCTACAACACCATTTTTTTCATTTTCCTTTTCTTTACCTAAACCCAATGAATGGGTGAGAAACTTCCATCGTTATTTTTTTATTTTTTTTAAAAAAATATATATATTTCCTACAAATATTATAGTCATCTTATAGGGAATTAAAAACCACAAGTTTTGATATATATTTTTATAAGTTTTAGTAGATATATAATTTAATAAGTATTAAAAAAGATTTAAAAAAATTGGCCAATAGGAATGGGAGAGAGAATGAGGGAATGGACTCCCTCACCTCTTTCTCTCACCACCTTTCCATAAGTCAAGGTGCCGTGTTCAATCGAGAGAAAAAGCTCCCCTCACTCTTTCCCTCGCCCATACCGTCTGGTCTTAAAGGTGATAATATCCAATTAGTTGTGTTGGATCAAAAAAAGATCTTTGTTTATGTTTATTTGATTGTTTAACTGATGTATTTCTACGTTTCATGCTTGTAATTTATAATCTTGTGCTCTTGCTAATTGTTTTTAATGCATCCGCCGTTAAAGAAAATATAGGGTTTTTATTAAAAGTTAATGTAGGGTTGTTATTAATAGTTTAAAGAAACGAGGGTCTATTTGTTCGTGGCAATAGATAGAGGAGTTGTTTTGTAGAAATTAAACCGAAGTGTCACTTGAGACAGATCAGTTGGGAGTACTAGTACTTGTACCTATTATTATTATTATTATTATTATTATTATTATTATTATTATTATTATTGTTATTTGAAATAAACGAAAAATAAATAATCGCCTACATACACCTTTTTACCGATAAATCTTGACGGAAAATCTCCCAATTGGGAACCCTAACTTGATCTATTCCAAAGCAAGTTATCATCGATTCATCATCGTCTGGTACGAATTTATCTCTTTCGAGAACTTCTACCTTCAATTCAATAGCGTGTGTTTATTTGTCAGTTGATATTTGTACAGTTTCTTGGAATTTTGTCTCTCCAGAGAAGAATTTAATTGATGAATTAGTTTGATTCCTTTTGTATTTAATTTTGCGATTATGTTGAAAAGCAGCGATATAACTGTGTTGGATTGTCAATAGTGGGAGAGAAAGAGAGGGTTGTGGCTTATTACGAACAGATTGGAGTGGCACCAAGATTCCGAGTTTTAATTTTATTTGAGTTTTTAGTTACTAATCTTGATTTGAACCTCGTATCTACACAATATTTCGATTATTAGTTTAGATGAAGATGAAAGAACCAGGAACTGATTACAAAAAGACTTAAGAGGCCAGATTAATAGTAGATTATCTAACCATAACATATTCTTGAAATAGTAACTGCAGAGAGCAATGAATCATGTTTGTGATCATTTAAAGTACAACATATAAGATTCGAGATATAAGTTCTACATGGATGAGCAGTGAATCAGGAAAGAGCAACGGACTCTCATTTATATGTGCATTATATATCATCATACTTTAAGTTTTTATTACAGGATTGTACTTAGAAAAATCTACCCAATTATAGCAGTGAAAGTTGCTTTGTATATGGATGACATTATTGTAAATGTAATTGTGTAGATTTTTCAAAGTACCATATGCTGTAATATGCTTATTATTAACAAATCAATGCAAGTAAGCTTTTGTTCCATACATGTTGATTACACAAAGTATATGACTATTGTTATCATGCAGCTCTTATTAGTGAATTTCTTCGAATTCCAATGTTTATTTTTGGCCATTTTCAGTGAAAACCCTCATGAGCTGAGACAAATAAAGGATGGCAGACTTACCAGGTTATCTGTTAACCTGTCTGTACTCTGGAAAACTTGCACTTTTGGCAATTTTGGTATCTGGAGGGATCGTATTGCAAATACTAGTAAGCTTCAAACATTGAAATTTTATTAATTGAAGAAATTGTTATTGTTTAATCATTATCTCTCATGAATCATGATGACACTCACAGGCATGTGTTTTGTACAATAATTGGTGGCCAATGCTCACAGGTATCTTTACTCCTCCCTTGATCCCTTCCCTGCTAACACCACATTTTCATAGTTTTAGAAATTGTTGTTTTGTCCTCCATTAGCATCATTACAATAACTTGATAGGAAACATATAATTTTGGATTTATGAAGTTATGAAGAAACATTTATTACCAAACAATAGTTTATACCAAAGTAACGTTAACTTAATGTTTTTTTTTTCTTAATTGCAGCAATTATGTATGTGATTCTCCCTGTGCCATTGATATTATTTGCTGGAGCAGATACTTCTGTTCTGTTTGCCGAATCTGAAAACAGGTGTGAATAATACCAATTTAATTTAATCTCCCACTTGTTACTGATATAATAGTATGGGACAAGGGATCTGTTCAAAAGACGTGAATACCCTCCTCATCCTCAACCTTTTACCTTTGTTGGGCCATAAAGATGATATATATATATATATATATATATATATATATATATATATATATATATATATATATATATATATGTTTGTGTGTGTGTGTGATTGATTTATAAATAACAGTTGGGTGGATGCGACCAAGTTCTTGACAGGAGCTTCAGCAGTAGGAAGCATTGCGATTCCTATAATCTTAAAGCATGCAGATGTAATTACATGGGGGGCCTTTGCAATGGAGATTTCGTCTCTTTTTGTGTTTGGTACTGCCATATTCTGTTTCATTGGCCTCCATAACAGTGATGATGGAGGAGGGTATCATTCCATTTGATCCAACCCCCATCCCCATCATCATCATCATCATCATCATCCTATGTATTTGAGCCTCATTTTATTGTTTGTGTAAATGTATTTTATTCTATTGTGTTCTTTCTAGAGAACAATGTGCAAGTTTTGTTGCATTGGTTACAAGTCACTGTGATTTGGGGTTGTTTAGAAAGAGCTTACGCTTATAACTTCTTGTTTGTGTAAATTGGTTTTTACATATTTGGGAATTTGGAACTTGGTTTCTACGGGTGTTTTTAGGAATCAGATACTTTGGGGGTTGTTTTCCATATCATGTGGAGATGTTTTATTTATTTATTTATTTAGGCAATGAAATGGCTTTTAAAATGAAATATGGAACACGTTTGTTATATGTTGAACCGGTTGAAACATGTTTATCATATGATTTGTATTAACAATGTCATATAGTTCAAATAGAAATAAATATGATTTGTATTAACAATGTTATATAGTTAAAATAGAAATAAATATAAATTGTTAAAAATAACTAAGTCGGTATTGTTATCTATTAAATAATAATTTCATATTAAATTAAAAAGTTTATCTTTAAATATTATCATTAGGTTGAACATATGATAAGAAAGACATCTTTTTAAAAGTTTGAAACCTAAAACTGTATTATTTATGTGGTTGTAAAACTTGGTCACCTTAACCAAATACTTAGCAAGTTATTTTACCTCGGCCTCCAACTTAGGCGAGTTTGACCAACTTGGCAAAAAGGCTCATATATTAATCAAATTTGGTCCAACTCGATTAAACTCGGATCGGTTCAAACCTATTAGCATAAGGGTTTTCTCTTTTTATTTTTTTTCGTTGAAAACCCGGGTTATTTTCCTGATCAAAAACCTTTTTGAAAATCTAAAACTTAACTGGCCAACAAAGTCAATCTTATTAAAATATACCCTGAAAATTCTATAAAGTTCTCATGCTTGGTCCTTTTTGAACATTTCACAATCTTTCTTAGTTATAAAAACGAAGACATTTGCTTGTTTACTCTCACCTTCAATGTGAGATAAAGATATTTTAATCAAACGCATTTCTTTATTTGTCAATAATTCCATTTTATCATATAACATATTAGGTAAAAAAGAGTTATCAAAAAATTTGTTGTTCTCTAATTTTATTTTCCAATAATCTTATAAATTGTTATCCAAAAAAAGTAAGTTTTATTAAATAACTTTTTGTTAAATCTCAAAAAAATAAATCTATTAAAACTGTGTGTGTGCGCGCGCAAACGTAAAAATATTATATTTATGCTATTATTCTGTAATGAATGTTATATATGTGTATTGTTGAAATAATTCTAATATGAATATTAACGTTTAATTATTCATATATTCATTAGAATGGTATTATTCTATTATAAATTTATGTATGTTTATTTTATAATAAATTTAATTTTAGTTTTAACATGTGATTATTTATTTATTTATTACTGAATAATGACATAAAATTGTGGATAAAAAATTCATTACAGTTAGTGTTTTTTACATTCTCTTGTTTTTATTTGAACTATCCACTATATACACACACACATACGATTCAAAATTTCATTATAAAATGAATTCCTTTAGAAAATATAGATAGACATAGACTATACATTTTGTGCTTATGAATCAAATAGAATTTCCGAACAATTATAATTTTATGTTTAGGTTGATGTTATGTTTGTATTTACTTAATATTATTTAACTAATTCTAATATTATTAAAAAGAACTTAAAAAAACATGAAATTTTCATATTCACAAATGAATATGGTAAAAGGAAAAATATTTCCTTTATAATATAGTCTGATATGATATGTTGATATGATTAACTTAAAATTTTCTCAACACTCATAGGAGTTTACATGGTGCTTTTGGAAGCTTTTAGATTTTTTTTTTTTTTTTTTTTTTGATTCAACAATACAAGTTTTAACTTTTAATTTAAACAAAAATCTAATAATCCAAAATGTATTTCAAGTAGAGTTTACCAAAAAAAAAAAACTCTTACATAGAGTTTAATTAATGGACGGTTTATTATAAGAAATCAATCGTAAACATTATTCATGTGAGATGTCTTAGGATGTCTGTCAGACCAGAATAAGAGAAGGCATAATGTTTCTTAAATATTAAAATTAAATGTCTTAGAAGCCAATTAACCAAAAGTTTATTGATGAGCCACAAAGAACACTAAGCAGACAATTTTACATATATATTTTGTTGCAAAAACCAGGTTATCTACAAAAGTATCAGTCAAATGATGTCGTTTGGGTTGCCTCTGGTGGTGTGCCGGTGTCTGATCTAGGTTCCTGGACAATAACAATGTACTTTTTAGTTTTTTTTTCTTATTAAGGCATTGTACTCTAAAAAAGCTATCCCATTATAGCATTTTGTGTGTGTGTGTGTGTGTGTGTATAAGATTAAGATATTATGCTTTGAAAAACCTACCCAAATATATCAGTGAAAATTGCGTTATATTCAAATGGCGTTGCTATAATTAATTGGGTTGATTTTTCAAAGTATAATGTTGGTGATAAAAAGAAATAGAAGTAAGATGCTATAATAAATAAATCATTTAATCCTGTAATATTCTTTCAGCATTTACCTCTCTCAAGAGTGGAGCATCAGTCAAAGTCAAAGGCTTGAGCTGGCTGTTCTCTATGTTGCTTAGCAACCGTGTTACAGTTTCAAGATGAGGGACACTGTCAACAAAATTAACAATAATAAGTTAGGCACAACAAACCTAAATAATAGCATTTTATGTAGGGTTAATGCAAGAAATAGCAATATAATTTATTTTATTTGTGTATTATATAGCATCTTATTTTATATTACAACATTGTACATTAAAAAAAGGCATCTTATTAATGTACTGTACTTTGAAAAAGAGCATATACAGATTGTAACAAGATGCAATAAATACTTTTATGTAGTTTCCTTCCATTTTCCAAAGTTTGCTGTGATAACATATACTGATGTGAAAAATCTTGATTGACTTTTTTCATAGGAGACCACATCCATTTGTCAAGTTTTCTAGAAAGTTAGTCGAGTTATTTCTTCTATTAAAATAATTTTTTTTTTCATTCTATTCTCGAAGAATTCATAACACTTGGCAAGTAACTGGCTATCCTCCTAACAAAAATGTCATCTCTTCAAAATGGGTTGACAAATTAAATTCAAATTTGTTGGTATAGTTGAAGGAGAGAAAATTTCCTCTTTGTTTTCTCTCCATCTTTCAATTCTGATAAAGATCAAATAGTATAACAAGCTTAGCATGTTATGGATATGAATGGTATAAACGGTTAATATAAGAACCTCTGTAACCCATGATCCATATGTGCATCTAAGGATGAAATCACCAAAGGCATCTGCTCCAACACCTTTATATGTAAAAACAAAAGACATAAGAAAACCAGCATTTACAAATAGCATATTTGTATCGAAATTGACCATTATTGGAAAAACCTGTTGAGTGTTCTTTATTGTAGACGCTTTAGCCAAGAGATTTTTAGGAAGCTTTACAAGTTTATCCTGCTAATAAGAAGATAAAATTTTAAACAAAACTAAAAGGGTCAAACTCAATCTCTAACAAATCACTTTAAATTTCCATGAAAACTTATTCGAATTACATTTGGAAGAGGAATTTATAAGTGAGCTCTCTCTTGGAATCAGGATGTTATGGTGCAAATCTATATTCTATATGTTGTGTTGTGATAGATCATAGATATTGTTTTGACACAAATGAATGCATAAATTAGGACAAGAATGAGTATTTTTCCTCTTCTTCAGTTATCAAATATTATGTTAATTGATAACTAAAATTTCATCTTATTAAACTATAAAACATTTTATGTTGTTTTTTTATGGGAATTCCGTAAAATGCTTAATCAATTACACGTTCGGCTAATCAATAATCATAATTGCATAACTTAAGACTGAGAAAAGGAACTACCATACCAATTAGATCACATAATCGACTATTAAAAATTGGGTGAATATTTGAAATAGCCATACAGTGCCTTAATTAGGGTGATAATCTAGCTCTTTTAAAATTACATGTAATTCACAATCAATCAATGCTTTATTAGCTAGTGTGAATAGCGAATTCTCACACTTAACTTTTTCCCCAAACTAATCGTGATAGATTATATGATGATAAGAATTTGTATACGGAAGTGTACATCTACATATTATAAAGAGCGAGAGAGACATGGATATGCCTGAGATGGAGACGATTGAAGCATGATGTGAAGGAGATTTGAGGTAGAGAGAACCGCTTGCGAGATTTGATCTGTGACCATCGTTTTTGCTGAGCTATCTCGTGAAACACTGCTCGGCCCACGCGATGTTCTTCCTCTTGCGGAGATAGGTACGCCTCCTGTGGCCGGAGGAGTTGGAGAAGGGAATGAAGATGACATGAGTGTTACTTTTTGCCCCTGCGCCTGGAAGAGTAAATAAGCAGAAGAGGTGCTTGTGTTACGGGCTCCGATCCTTCGTCGTTATTTCTAAATTCTGGGTAACTGACCCCGGGATGGGAATTTAAATAGGATAAAATTGCAAAAATGGTTAGTGTGGTATGCAATTTTTTTCCTGGATTGAATCATTGAATCAAATATTAGAGGATGTTTTTGATAGAGAAAAAAAAGGTTGTTTATTGTTTATTGGTTAATTTCATCGCAATAAGCAAATTTAAGTGTTTGGATAGGAGTCTTTAAAAATCAGCTTATTGCGATAGGAATAAGCAAAATAAGCTGATTTAAGGGGGAGAATGTTTATTACTTATTCCTTATTGTTTATTGGTCATTTTACTCATATAAGCTATTTTATTTTGCGAAACACTTAATTGCTTATTACTTATTGTTTATTCCCACCGCAATAAGCTAATCCAAACATATTTTAAAAAAATGTTTATTCTCACCACAATAAGCAAATAAGTAATAAGATAACAAGCTAAAAACTATTTATCCAAACACCATCTTAATAACCCACGACGTGCGTCTAAAGTCAACACACGCACACACTACAACCACACACTAGGGGTGGGGTGAGCATTTGGACCGGTGGACCGGACTGGACCTTTTTTTGGACCCTCAGGCCAGTTCTCAGTTCTAGGAATCCATCAAAACCAGTCCGGTTTTTAAAACAACCATAACTCATTCGTTTTAAGTCGGATTAACACACGGTTTTTTTCAACATTTAATTTACAGTTTGTAGATGTATTTAGATTATAAATTTGTTGATTTTGGTATTATATTCAATGAGTTACAGTTTTTTGATGATGTGATGAATCGAGAATATATTGGAGTAATTGAGTAAATGAACACAGAAAGTAAATAGAATCTGGTTTTAGCTCATATTATGCTTTCAATGTTTTACAAAGAGAAAGTAGACAAGACGAATTCAGATCCTTATCTAACTCTAAGTAAAGCCCCTATTTATAGGAGACGTGAAAGCATACAAAAAATTACAATGACTAAAACACTAAGTTTCGACATATAGTGCCTTGTAAAATAACATTACAGTTTTCGACATATTACAACCAAAACTTCGACCCTTACAATCTCCCCATTTGTAATAATGTCGAACTTCTCAATTTGTGATAATTTGTGCAGCAAAAAGCATCACTCTTCGAATCTCAGTATACCATGATAAAATCTTATTCAACTCCTTCTTGTCTCCTTGATTATTCTTCGAACAATTATTCATACGAACAATGAAGTTCATATATTGAGATGTGATATACCTTTCCACTTCGCAAGCTTGAAATAAGAATCATTTATCTTTGCTATTCTTGTCTTTTCCAGCAAACACCAATCCAAAAGGTTTCAAGCAAATCTCACCATCAACATATTTCCTTAATTCTGCTTGAGACTTCGTGGCTTCCATATGAACTTTCACTTCTAACCGTTTTGCTGCAGCCAACTCCACATCAGTCAGTGCCAAACACTCATAGTAATTATCTATGAATATTTTGATGTGAGCAAGACCTAGTCTAAAAACTTTTGGATCTGTTCCTTAAAGATGCGAAGCATTCTTGTCTTTCAAAAGTAATGCAACTTGTATGAGATCATACAAGTTCATTAAAGGAAAATCAGCAACCGAGAAATTACAGATTTGATTGTTTACCCTTATAACATGATATCGAAAATTTTGCATCATTTTCTCAAACAAAACATCCTTTGTAATGTTGAGTATGTTTTTTATCTTTATCAGATACCATATCTCTTCTGGTACTTTTCCAAGAACAACATGAAACCTAAGTTTCATGTAAGTGTAATCATCATCATTATCAAACTTTTCAGCAATATTGTACTGAGCCATTATGAACATCATTTCGTTCACAGGAAAATCAAGTTGGCTCATATTCGTGTTTGTAACCACATAACTTTGTTTTGGCTTTTTCTCAAAAGCATACATGTGATTGTAAGCCACTTTTGCTTCAATTGTCTCATAACTATAATGCTTGCTTGGATCTCCCTTATTCATTCCAGGTGGATCATTTGCTCGAAGTCTAAGAATACTTTGATTAACCCTTTGTTTCTCCATCTCTGCTTCAAATTCAGCTTTCCTTTCTTCTTTTGTTTTCTCGACAATAACTGTTTTCCCTTTGTCTTGATTCCCAGGATTCTCAACAGCTTCCTTTGGTTTCAAACTACTTCCCCCTTCACCAGAAGATCGAATCACTGTACCTTTGGTGATTGGATTTGTAGTCACTACTGTCGAACTTACCTGACCAGCTGTCGAAATAATTGGTTTTGTTGTTGGAATTTTTGTTGAGAAAACTTTTCCAACAACCTTTACTTCTTCATGTGAACTTTCACCAAGCTTCCTTTCTCCCCCTTGCACCCGTGTGACAACAGGCGGGGCATCTGTTGGTAAAAGTTTTTAAATTCTCGACAAAGGGGCCAATTGTTTATAAAGAATGGCTTCAAATTAGGTAAACTTTTGAGATAAAAACTCAGGAGTTATCAATGAAAAGGAACTGGACTTCGAGGGTAAATCTTTTAACTCATTCAATTGAGTATTGATCTCAGCAAAACTGGTAGATTCTGTAGTAGACAACTGAGTAAGATTAGGACTCAAGGCTTCATATAGCTTCACGAACTTGGTGACAACCTCAACAATACTGTCAACTTGTTGATTTAGAGAAGCATAATCACGTTTCACCACTTCAATTTCTTTGGCCATGTCTTCTCGAAGCTCTTGAAGTTTGAAATTAACATCTTCTCGTACCCTTTTCACATCTTGAACGAACATTACATGTCGTTCTTTGTCAAGCCTTCGAAAATCTTGAACTTCTCCATTAAACGTTGAAGATTGAGATTTGATTCGAAGTTCATTATTCTGATCATTTTGATCTACCTTCTCCATTATTTGTGACTCAGTCGCTTGAATCAATCCAGAACATTTGGTAACCATCTCGGCTTCAACAACTTAGAGCATACCATCAATTTCCATTCTTGACACCGAATTACTTCCCCCATATCAGCTTGAGATTGAATTATCGAATTCAACTTCTTGTTAAGAATCTTGAACTGCTTCATAGACATTAACATGCGATCTAGAAAATTTTCTTCCTCATCATCAAATCCAAGCTTTTCGAAAGTTCCTCTAAACCCTGCATCTTCGGTTTCAGAATCATCAAGAGGTTTGGGTGGATCATTGGATTTTGGTGGATTAGTGGATTGGGAAGAAAACAAAGTAGTGAAAGGTTGATTTAGTATTTGAGTGAATGTTGGTGAAGATGATGTTGGAACTATAGGAATGATAAATGGTGGTAACGAAACAGAAGTAGTTGAAATGGATTTAGAAGAAACTATAACATGAATACCTTGGGATAATGAAACAACACTCATAGAAATATGTGCACCCGCATTACATATGTTTGCAATAATGTTTGAAATTGGAACCTCCTCAGTAACTGATTTGGTTATCACAACTTCGAGTGGAGTTATAGTAGTAGGCATGGTAACAAATGAAATTATAAGTGGAGATGACAGAATTGGAGAATGCGAACCCAATGGTGTCTCTGGTATTATCTCACTTCCGAAGAAAAGTCACGAATCACCAGTTTTCTTTTCTTGCTCTTCTTACTTATTTTCTTCACCAAGTCTTCTGCCCTTCGCTTCTTTGTAAAAGGTGAACTTGGTGCATGAATTTCTCGAACTAGCACTCCTTTTCAATTTAGTTGAGCTTTACAAACGATTGGAGATTGATCATCAGATGAAGTTTGGTGCTTATGAGACAAATTACTCAATCATTTTAATAAACCAGATTTCGAAGAAATCACTTCCTTCGAAGATTCATCAACAGTTTTCTCCTCAGGCTTCTCAACTTCAGTAATAACTTTCTTAGGAGACTTAACCTTTTTTTTGGACTTTCGGTAACAACATCATCAGCCTCCTTTATCACCTTCTTCGTTTTCTTGGAAGAACTACCATCACTTGTTTTTAAAAAAATCCCAGTTTCGACTGAAGGATTAACATGCTTCAAGTATTCCACCAAGATGAGATTTGCGGGATCAACTTTCTTCAACATTTTGTTAGGAATTCGAGCAACATTGGGAAAAATATCTGCATCATCTTCAACTGTTTTTGGAAAATGATACTTTACAAACTCTACCTTAGCCTCATCTGCTGGAATTGGAATACCCTCTTTTTGATAAATTGATTGAAGAATCAGGCTCCAATAACATGCACACGAAATACCCTTCACCACATTCGTATTTTTGAGACTTTTGATAAATTCATTCCACAGTTGAGTAGCATAATCAACATTTAGACTGTAATATAGACCTACTACCATTGCATACAATTCAGTCCTCCCTTTGTCTAGCCTGACACTTCGCCCAGTTAAGCAGCGAAGATAGATTCTGAATAAGAAATTCCAAATACAAGGTAAACCAGACTTCTTGAAATTGCTAATTTTGAGAAGAGGTGGCTGATGTCCCATCTCATTAAACATGTGCATTATCTGATCACTTTTGAATTGAAAGAATGGTGATGAATTTGGAATTGCCAAGATTAGAGTAAACGTCTTCTTTGTAAGTCTCACTCGTTTGTCATTCACCTAATTGAATGTGATGGCATCAGTGGCTTTGTTGTAAGATGCAGTAGAACAGGCCATTGACAACCAGGATAATAGAACTTCAATGGCATTAAACATTGCAGTGGCAAGATGTCACGCCCCAAAACCGGAACGACGAAAACGTTTGGGGGTGGAGAACGTCATGTACAGTATAACAACATAGAATAATAGTAAACAAGCAAACAACATCATCCATTGCATTAATAATGTATTTTAATACAAGTGTTATGTATAGCTTATAAGGCACCAAAAATACAAATCAAAATACAAGATGAGTCTTGAATGTGCTTCATCTTCTCAAAAGTTAGCATCGGTACCTGTCTACTGATTACCTAAGAATACAAGTTATTTTGAAAGAGTTCATCAGCTTTAAAGCTAGTGAGTTCATAAGCATTTCAGTGTCATTGTTTGTATGAAAATGTTTGTAAGTGTTTGAATGTATAAGTTTGAAAAAGTTTGTAAATGTTTGTAAATGTTTGTATCTCCTAGAAAATCCTATATTTTCTACTAAAAGTAACCTTCTACCAAGGCCCGACTGTTTTGTATGTTCGTTTCTGGTAAAAGTGTGTAATTTTCCCAAGTATGACTATCATTATCAAAATATAGTTTATACATTACTGTTTATGTGAGAAGATAACAAAGTGAATGCAATGGGAAAATAATATAGTACTGTAGTGTTGTATTATAGTAACTACTAGTGTATTAACTACCTTAAATCGGTTATTTGTTAAGGTATAATGTGATTTGATTGTACCATACTATCGAATAAAAACACGATGATGAAAGACGTCGGAAGAAATGACATTTGGCACCCGTAGACATGCAGGTCCCACTATAGCTAGCAGCAAGGTATAGGATGGTTAATCCAGTATAGATTTATATGAAAATTCACGCTCTCCCTCCAGGAGACTCTGGATACAAATCGAGCCATGGCAGTGATGACATGCCCCGAAATAGTGGTTCACATTTATGTTACAGTATACTTGTATATGTATTGTATGTACTAGAGTATTGTATGTTCTCTCTGTCTAGTATGTAGTATGTTCTCTTGTATAGTGTAGTGTATGTAATTTTTCTCATTATAGTATTCTTTATCTGTTTTCTCATCATAGTATGTTTGTATAGTTTCTTATAATAGTAAGTTCTCTTAGTTTCTCATCATAGTATATTTGTATAGTTTCTCATAATAGTAAGTATTGACTCATGAATGAACTGACTCTTTGTATGCTTCATTGTACTAGAAGTAATGAGTAGCATCTTCCTAAACTACACCTATTAAAGTTTACTAGTAGAACTGTTTGTATGACTGAATGTATTGAACTGAGATAAAAGCCTTTATATCCATACATATATACATAATATATAACTAAGGATCCAACGACACTCGGACAAACAACAAGGTACTCAAAGTCCACAACCAAACAAGGAACATGAAATAAAGTGAGTTATCAGTCCTAAGTCCTTCAATCGTTACTTATATAACTATATATGTAATAGACATGGTTTTGTAAATATATAAGTTTGAAAGCTGTAAAAGAAAAAGTTTGGCATATAAGAGTGAGTTTGGTAGAGAGTTTAACATGTAGAAGGGTTTGATAAACAGTTTGAAGTAGTTTGCTTGATAAAACAGTTAAAAGCATAGTAAATCCATTTGTTTGATAGTTATTAATCACATGTGATTGATATAATAACTATAACATTTCAACTTGTATCCACCTGTCACACCCCTAAACCAGAACGACGGAAACGTTCGGGGGCGGATGACTTCTTGGGCAGTATCATAACAATGAATATTATAGTGAAGAAAGAAAACATAACCATCATCAATATAATTGAAAAAGTTACATCGTAGTATATGTTTACATGTTTTCGAAATCAATTACATCATAATGACAAAATATGTTTTTGAACTTGAAACCTTAGCGTCTCTGTCCTCAAAGCTGAGCATTTCCTGTTCACTGAAATCCTGAGAATACTAGTTTTGAAAAAGTGTCAACAATTAAGTTGGTGTGTTTATAAGGGTTTTATTTTGAAACGAAACTGTTTTCCTTTGTAAAAGCGATAAAGTTGTTCCAGAAAATCCGATATTTTCCTTAAAGAGTGAGTTGAAAGTTTCTATGTTATGAAATAGTGCATCCTAGAATTTCCTATAGTTTCCTTCTATAATCTCCAAGTATATATAATTTATATAAAATTAAAGTTAGATAAAACATCGAATGTAATGGGTCTGTCCTAGATCGACAACCAAACAATGAACATGAAATAAAGCGGACCCATCAATTCTAAGTCGATCACGACAAAATTCTATATAACTCTAGCATATACACTTAGTAATTATGGCTGAAAACTAACAATTCTAGAGAGAATGTAGTCTTAAAAAACCAAAGACCGAGACTATGCCTATCATAGTTCATCAAGTGGTAGTAGTACACATAAACTATACATATCATAATTCACCAAATAGTGGTAGTGATAGTGAACATGAATTATGCATATTATAGTTTATCCAAAAGTGGTGGTGGTAGTGAACATAAACTATACATATCATAATTCACCAAATAGTGGTAGTGATAGTGAACATGAATTATACATATTATAGTTTATCCAAATTGTTTGTAATGTAATGCAACCTAACCATACCTACTATAGTTACCGTACTTGTTGGTAGTGTACATTTATTATAGTTTATTGTAATTACTTGTAGTAGTGGCAAACCTTGGTATATGATTCATACCTTCAAGATAAGGTAAATAATGTGAATTATCATTCACATGTATTCAATTAGTACTATCCTTGTCGTGGTTTACCAAATGTTTGTATGTAACGAATCTAAACTTTGTTAATGACAAGTTATTATTTCACCATACTTAATATAGTAAAAACCCATTTTTTTCTGATGTATCTCTACATACCAAGAAAAAATGACACATAATGTAATAATATATTATCACTTAATGATACACACCTTGCTCAACAAGTTACAAGGTGTGATGAAAGTTGTAAGCTGTCAACTTGTTCTTAACATTTCTGAACTGTTTTGGAAAAATCACAGAAAAATCATACAAAGTCGAAAACTGAATCCGTAAACTCTAGGAGTTTAGAAAATGTGTCTAGTTTATTAATAAATTTTATCATGATGTTTAGATGTCTCTAACTTGTGGGAAAATGTCCATATTCACAGACTGGTCCGGATTTGTAGCTACAGTGATAGACAATTTTGTAAAAATCTCCATAAATTGTAGAAAAATCGTATGAACATGTGCAAGTAGTCATTTTAAATTTATAAACCTGAAATATTTTCATCTAATATAGTTTTGAAAACTAAAATGTTTAAGTTGACCAAAACCGTCCGTGAATGGAGTTCAACTTTTCTGATGAAAGCTGTTGGATGAGTTTAGTTATGTTCTTGGTGTTTTAACTTGTATTCCCCCCTTAAAGCTTGAGAAAAACATGAAACTATAGGGGTATTAATTCACCTTGTTTGTTCTTAGTGGATGGATGTTAAAGAAAAAGAGTGTTCAACTCAATAACACTTAGAAGATGACTTGAAGATTCGAAGATCTAACACGAAGGTAATGATGTTTGTGTAAGATATCTATGATTTGAGTAGAAAGGAGTGGAATAATCATATATAGGATGATAATACTTACTAAAAGTAGAAGAAAAGTTTGGAGAATAGCCTTGAATCTCTTTATTTAGAGAGAGAAGGTGAGAGAAAATGAAGTTTGTTCTTTGGTGGAAATGGGAGGAATGAGAGATATGTGAGGAGAGAGGAGGGTTTTCTAGCCCTTGACCAAGTGTGTGGCTGGAAAATGATGGGAAAAGTACAATGAAAGGACTAGGTATCGTGGAATAGTGACTGGAGATGGTCATGGAGTGG